AAAATTGTTCAAAATGATCAACACCTTGTCTAACACGTCGTTTTAAATCACCCCAGAAGAAGAAATCCATAGGATTTAAACCTGGTGATCTAACCGGCTACGATACAGGTCCTGATTAGCCTATCCACTGGTCTGGATAAACTCTATTTAGATGCTCTCTAACTAATATACTAAAACGAGGTGGGGCGCCGTCGTGCATAAACGACATATTCATGCGTGTATGTAATGGAAGATCTTCCAGCAGAGGGGGTAATTATTCTTCAAGAAATTGTAAATACCTTTGGCCATTCAGTCTAGGTGGTAACTCAACGGGTCCTATTAAATATTGTCCAATTATTCCTGCCCATAAATTAATTTGAAATTGTACTTGGTGGGGGGTTTGTATTATTGCATGAGGATTTTCGTCTGCATAAATGTGAAGATTATGCGAGTTAATGGGCTCATCCCTTCCAAATCCTCATTTTGAACAATTTTTGTAATTATTATTTCCATAGAAAGGCTACTCAGATATTATCTAAAGCAACTTGATTATTATGATATAAAGTGTTTTATCATCATGGTACAAATAATGTATTGGAATAATAATAAAAAATAACGGATTCTTGTTTCTCATACTACAAAACCTCCCTATGCCAAAGTCTGAAATACTTCTCAAGCAATAAGAAAAAACAGAAAATAGAATTTAAACTTTGACACCCTGTATCTCGCGAACTGTCAACTTTTGGACATATGTTGGTCTGTAGTATCTCCAGTTTCCTGATTTCCCATCCTTTCGTAGTACACATCATCTGGCATCACACATTTGGATATCGGTACCTGCTGTGGTTTATTGCAGAAGGTAGACTTGTTAGTCCAGAGCTAGCTTTATCTGTGTCTCAAAGACGAGCATATTTGCTAATATATCGAAAAAAGTCGCAGGCTGGGACCTCTGTCTGGTCACTACTATGTAATGATTAATCTAATCTGCCATTGTAGCATCTAACTTCCCAGTTTTTGATAAAGAGATAATTCTCCAGAACCGATTGAAGAGAGTTCGTCTGTCAATACGAATTCCTGTACAATCAACAGCATCCATGGCATCATGATGTTAGACAGAAGAATGATACATGGAAGGAAATCAAAGAAATGTCATCTTTCATCATTTCGTGTCAGTTTCACAAGGATAGAACAGCTGATGAACATTTATAACTATCAGAACTATCGAAACTACTGAATAGCGACAATATTGGATCACAATTCTATAAGAAAATTAGGCTTGATTTGATAATGTGACATCCAAATGATTGACTAATTTGAATAGCAGGGTCAGACCACAGTTGAGTCATAGAGAATGTTTTAGAAGGAACACCTAGTAAAAAGTTGACATAAATATATCAACTCACCAAAAAGAAACAGACAAATACGGTGCGATGAACTCCACGCTTTCTGGATTGAAGATAGTAAAGTCTTATCATTGGAAGTAGAGTGAACCAGATTTAATGTTAGAACGAAGGTAGTACTTCGGAGCTCATAGGTCATGCGCTATATTGATTTGATTGCCCTTTTCTTCTACACAGGATCTCTCTACGCGTACTCGTTATGGTGGTAACAATTCATTTTATTTCCGCGGACAAATTTATTGTTATTTTCGCCTCTTTATGTTCTGTGTGATGTCTGTGACAGTGTAAGTGAACTTGATATTTTTAGTTCCACCAAAATCGATCTCAAGAGGTGTTTTTTAACAATTGGATAATTTATATTTATGTTCTTTTTATCATGTACTGTTTAGAGTTTTGTTTTTGTATCATTTTTTGTTTTCTCCCTGCCTGTTAATTGGATCACTCTGTTCAGCCAGTGCATGGATTATTATAAATAAACAATAAATAACGGGCGTGAAGCATTGTTTCTATCCGAAAAGCTATCAACCTAAGATCGAATATTTCTACAAATCTGGTAAGTGTAAATGAAAATGGATATAAACTATAGTTGTAGTCACCGTTCTTGGCGGGTCAAAGTAAGACTACCAGTATTCCTTTATATATCTCCATCTCCCTCATACCTATCCCTGTGTGTGAACGTTTATTCGGTAAGCTTAAAGACATACGTTTTTTAGTTGTGTGTCTCCGTATAGAAAACTTTGTCGTTACGTATGAGTGCCCTTCAATCATATTTGTCAATCTTCAATATAAAATTGTACAGTGCCCGGAAATACAGTCAATGGAGATGGCCGACAGCTCGTGCTAAATTGATTAGTGTATTTCCAGGAAGAAAATGAAAACAGCGGTCCTTTGTTACCCACTTCATGCGTATTGGAGAGAGTAGCAGATGCGCTGAAGATTAGTGTGCGCAGTGTTCCGCCCATGGTACGGAGACGCGATCTGCTTACTTATTTCATATGGCATTAATGACATATCCGCCAAGAACGTTGACTACAGCTGTAGTTTGAAAAGTCAACTAAAATAAAATCCTGTGCTCGGATGCTATGGCTGGAGCAAATATACAAGACAACTACTACGTCACACTTACAAAGCTTCTCATAAAATGCAGGTGAGACATTGAAGTGGAGCACTCCATTCCATTTATTTTTCTGTTACCTGAATACCTTACCATGCAATATCACTCTGCTTGGAGTGCGATTTACAGGTTTCATTAAAACTGCAAGCAGCGTACATTTTAAGAAGTAATTCGCCATGCATTTAAAACTGTCTGGCTGCGCGCCCAAATACCGACACCAGGTGTTGTTTTCTACTGAAAATATTGTCACTTAGATATAGAACAGGCACAGAAGAACATCGTTTGACTAGCTCGAAGTAAAGACTGTATAAAGAAAGATCAGAAACATGCATAAATAACTATATAAAGACAGATTTTCATTCTTCGGATTGCTATTTTTATTATTTATCACAGTTATCAAAACATCATAAGTATTTTTAAAATCCATGCTTCAATGAAATTGACACGCGTTACGAACCCTTAATGCTCTATGGTTGACTTTTGATGAAAAACGCGATGCGGCACTCTATACCTATAAACAAACGCGTAACATAAAACACCTGTCTTATTACCGTGATTTGAGAAACACTGTCTTAATGCACTTCGGCAAGAGTAGTTTTTTGTCCTTTCATGCATCGCAATCGAATACTAGAGACCTATGGAAGGCTATTAATTCTATTGGCGTCAATTCTAATACCAGCATAAAAAGTCCAGACCATTTGAACGATGTTAACGCTACCAATTATTACTTTTCAACTATGTTTACCTCTGCAAACAGTTGTTCTGATACGGCTGCTGCTTTTAGGTCCTCGACTTCAGTCAAAATTATTATTTTGAGTTTAAACCTGTATCCGAACGGGCTGCGATTGACATTTTGATGTCCATTAAGTCGAATGCAGCTGGTAGCGACTACATCTCAGCTGATATACTCAAGCTTTGCCTTCCCAATTTGGAATTACCAATCACTCATCTCATTAACTGCTGTTTAGATTTTGCGTATTTTCCCAGTGCATGGAAACTTAGTGAAACTCAAAGCTTTTCAGATCTTAGCAGATAGATACCTGTATTTTGGAAAATTTTAGAGAAAGCTGTTAAAACTCAAATATCTGATTATTTTTTGGCCAATAATATTTTCCCTGAATGCCAATCAGGACTTAGAGCGGGCAGTTCTGGCTGATGTCTCAGATGACATTATCAGAGAACAAGAGGATGGTAAAGCTACTTCTCTCATTTGGTTAGATTTCTCAAAAGCCTTCCACACCATAGACTACTCACTTTTATGTTCTAAATTATCTCACTATGGCTTCAATCATACATCATTAAATTTCTCTAAAACGTACCTTTCTGGGTCAGCAAGTACTGCACTTGGATAACCAATACTCTAAACCTTCCCTTGTTACATTTGGTGTTCCTCAAGGCTCAGTACTTGGCCCAATATTGTGTTTACCGTACACAACTGATATTCATATGGTTGTATCTGACGCTGATGATACGCAACTGTATAAGACTTTTAGCCCCGAATCTACGCATCAAGCAGTTCGTGAAATCAATATGGATCTTGAAGAAATTGTTAGATATCCTAAACCTTGAGCTGAATCCTGATAAATGTATTCTCATGCTGTTTTGTTCTAACTGATACCATTCCATAAATGTACAGATTGATGGAATAGCTCTTCCAGTAGTGGAAAAAGCAAAGAATTTAGGACTAGTATTTGATTAATCTTTACGTTTTAAGGACCATGTTGCTAATATTATAAAAAAAGGTTATATTGTTATTAAACGCCTTTATTCTAATAAATAAATGTTGGTTTTTAAAACTAGGAAAAAGCTTTGTGAGACGCTAATCTTTCCTATACTCTCAATCTGCTTTACAGTTTATCACTCGTGCCTCGATGCTGCCACTCAGAACAGATTGCAAAAACTGCAAAACAGTAGATTTGCTTTTAGTTTAAAGAAGTATGATCATATTTCATGTTTCATTACTGAGCTGGGTTGGTTATGTATGACGAAGCTTACAAATATCAAATGCTCACTCTTACTCATAAAATATTGACAATCCCCTTCCTATCCTGATAAAAAGCCTGCAGCTCGCCGTATTAGGGCGGATTTTAACTTCAGATATAAGAATCGCCTAGAAATCCCACTTTACCATAGTACATTTTTCCGACGGTTGTTTATCTATAACTCTATTGAAATATAAAATGATGCAAATGAATATTTGAAAACTCTGTGGTTGAATAGCATGAAAGAACAAGCTAAACAGCTTCTTCTACATCGTTAGCTTTACCTTGGCAGATTGATTTAGTTTATTCTTTATCTTACTGTATTTTCTTTTCAATTCATTTATTTTGTTTAATTTCATACTATCCTCTTTCTCCAATATATATAGAATTTATGTGTTGTAATGTTATCATTGGTTGCAGATATTAATATTGGAGTAGGTTGCGTGGAATAAATTTATCTAGACTCCGCCTATCAGGAATAAGGTGTTATGTACATTTATATTCCAATAAAGACCTTTTATTATTATTGTTATTATGCTCCTGCAGAACACCGTTGGCCTCTCCTCTATCAGCACTGTCAGGTATTGCTGGTAGGAGGTCTATCCTCATGTCACAACCGATTAACGATCAATCTGATGTCATTACGGAGCTCAAATCTCTTATTAGACAGCTGCAAGACGAGAACAAAGAATTAATCAGATCTTTTGATTTCTTGAGTAGCCAGTGGGAAGAGGAAAGGAAAAGGTCCAAAGTATTGGAAGAGATGGTTGGAGATTTATCCAAGGAGAACCAAATGCTTAGGAAAGATGTTGATGGATTGAAACTTACTCTTAACAAAGAGGAATCTAAAAGGTTGGTTAATAATTTGTCTATTACCGGTCTTGTTACTGAAAATGATGATAAAGAGCAAGCAGTGGAGAAAACTTTGGCTTTATTTTCTTTTCTGGATACACCTATCTCTCGGAATGATGTAGCTCATTTTAAACAAGTTCCAACCAAAAACGGCGTAAAGGCTATAGTTACTTTGAAGCCTGAACATAAAAAGCAGATTCTTACAACTCGTTCCAAAAAAGGGAAACTAACACTTAGGAACACTAAATGTGGTGATGCGGATTCTAGAATATTCGTCGATGAGGAGCTGACCAAGGAAACGTACCAGTTATTCAAACACTCAAGGCAACTTAAGGGTGTTGGCTACAAATATGTGTGGCATCGAGAGGGGAAGATTCTAGCTCGCAAGAATGATGGCTCTGATATTATTTTCATCCGGAATGTTAATCAAGTAAATGACCTACTTAAGTAGCCCTTTATCTCATTTGCTTTGATTGTTTTTTTATATATATATTTTCCATTTGTTGCTTGATTTTTATAATTTATCATGGCTAGTACGAATCTTGAAAATAATTTAAGGATAGGACATATTAATGTACGTTCACTGATACCAAGTTTGAACGAAATTAAGTCTTCGATAGATAATTTGAAGTTGGACATATTAGGAGTAACTGAATCATGGTTAACTGAACAAGTAAGTGAACAGGAAATTAAAATAAACAATTTTAAGTTTTATCGCGTTGATCGTGGGTCTCGGGGAGGTGGAATAGGGGTTTATGTTCGATCTGATATTACAGTAGTTGAGATAGATGTAACTGAGGACCAGAGGGGAATTTTTGAGCAGCAATGGCTTATTCTCAAAATTGGCAAAATAAAATTGGGGTTGGGCATCATTTACCGTCCTCCTCGTTTTAATGTGATGACTGCTTTACGCCAACTGGAAGAATCAATAGCTAATTTAATTCCAGTGACAGATGAATTGATTATAATGGGGGATATTAATATTAATCTATTAAGACATACTAACATAACCAATCAGTTTAATAATTTGCTTGATACTTTCAACTTCAAGCAAGTTGTAATTAACCCAACTAGGTACTCCCGAGACACAGCCAGTTTGATTGATGTCATCATCATGTCCGATGATCATCTCTTAAGTGGCAGTGTCCATCATCAGGACTTGCATCAGCATTCCGATCATCAGCTCATACACTGTTCAATAAATATTAAGATCTCTGCCATTAGGCCTAGAATTATTAAGTATCGTAACTTTAAACACTTTGACATCTATAGCTTCAAACAAGATCTTATAAACTTCCCTTGGTGGCAGGTTATAGACTGTGATAATGTTAACCAGAAGACTGCAATTCTCTCAGATATGATATTGACTCTTTTTGATTCTCATGCGCCAATATGTGAGAAAAAAGTTACCAGGCCACCTTCCCCGTGGTTTACTGATGCGTTGCGTGCGATGAAGAATCACCGTAACTATCTTTTCTCTAAATATAAACGTACTAAAAATTTACGGGATTGGGCATCTAAAGAAATGAGGAATTTTTTTACGTCAGCTGTTCGACAAGAAAAGAGAGCTTATATTGATTTTGTCAGTCGTACTAAAAAATCCAAAGACATGTGGAAGACACTAGACCAACTTAATATCTATAACAGATCTAAAAAAAATATAGAAATTCCTAACCATCTTAAAAACCCAAATTTAATTAATCAATATTTTATCGACTCGGTGCGACAAATACCTAGCACTGTCGATACGAATACTATTTCTAAATATCTTAATTCCAAATGTACAACCGCAGAATTTGAATTAAAACTCGTTAGTGAAGATGACGTTTTCTGGGCAATATCGGAGATTGGGTCAAACGCCTCTGGTGCAGATGGAATTAGCCTTGACATGGTGAGGTTGTGCTGTCCAACGATCTTACCCGTGCTGGTTAACCTATTTAATTCCTGCATACAAAAGGGCATCTTTCCTGCCCAATGGAGAACGGCTGTGGTCCTGCCGCTGCCTAAAATTAGCAGTCCTAAGGATGTCTCTGATTTGCGACCAATTAGTATACTACCAGTGCTGTCTAAAGTATTTGAAAAGCTTATTTATAGGCAAATCATTACTTATTTCACAGATAATAATTTATTACCCAAGTTGCAGTCTGGATTCCGTAAGGGTTTGGTACTACCTACGGCTCTGTTGAAGGTTCTAGATGACATTCTTTTGGCTGCGGACAGGGGTGAAACTTCGGCATTGGTGTTGTTGGACTTTAGCAAGGCCTTCGATACCCTGAACCATGCATTGCTGTGTGCAAAACTTTTGTACTATGGATTTAAACTTAAGACTATTCAACTTATTCGTAGTTATTTGGATGACAGATCGCAGTCGGTCTCAATTGATGGGCTTAAATCAAAACCCTTGAACGTGGATAGAGGAGTTCCTCAGGGATCACTTTTGGGTCCTTTATTTTTTATAATTTTTACTGCTGATATGTCGAAGTGCTTTGGTGACATAAACAATCATAGATACGCTGACGATACACAGATTCAGCTTTCTTTTGTTAAGTCGGACGCAATTGAAGCGGCTAGGAGGCTAAACGAGTGTTTGGATTCAGTTTTTAAATACTCTTTTAATCATGGCTTGAAATTGAATCCTAATAAATCAGCCATAATCTACTTTGGGCCAGCTAAAGATTGGGCGTCTGTAAACTTGGTGATAGCAATGGATGGTGTGGCAATACCGGTTGTTGAGGAATATACAAATTTGGGCGTTATCTTTGATAACAAGCTTAGATTCCGAAGTCATGTGTCTAGGCTTCTACAAAAAGCCTATTTTAACCTTCGCAATATTTACAAAAGTAAAGATATTCTTAGTTTTAAGTTAAAAAAGGTTCTCTGCGAAGCACTGGTCTTGTGTCACCTTAACTATTGCAACTTTGTGTATGGTCCTTGCTTAGATGTATTTACTAAGATAAACTCCAAAAAGTGCAGAATTCTTGCATACGACTTATTTACCAGCTTAGACGTCACGATCATGTCAGTCATAAACTTTCCGAACTGAAATGGTTGAATGTTTCCAATCGAGAAAAGCTACATTTTGCTTGCTTTCTTCATAAATTGATTAAAACTAAAAGCCCTCCATATCTGTTTGAAAAATTAACTCGTAGAAATCTGATTCACTCTCGTGCAACACGCTTTAATGTACTTTATGAAATACCTAAAATAACTAAAACCATGACTCAAAGCTCATTTTCCTATACAGCAGTCAAACTTCTAAACCAATACAATATAGGTCAATTTGAAGATATGTCTCCTAATATGTTCAAACGAAAACTGAAACAACTGCTTCTGTGAAGTATAAGTTGTTTATTATTGCTTATTTTCTTTGTATACGTACATCTGTTGTTATTATTGTTCATTGTTGTTATGTAATATTCTAAAATTAATGTAATGTAAAACTTGTTTCTTGTCATACTACTTTTCTTTTTGGCTTGTTGTTACTTTTTACATGCTCGGTTAAGTTAACAGCACAGCTGGCCTTCGCCGAGTTTAAAATAAAGGCGTTTTTATTTATTTATTTATTTATTATATATGGAATAGGACATCGTGCACATAGCCTCTTTGACTTTGCTGACACATACACGTTCTTCATTAAAATTGTTTTTTGTTGTCCATTGTGACTGAATTTCAGTGGTATGGTGTTGAATTTGCAATGCTACAATGAACAAAAATCCAATGGTGTTAAATCATATGATTTAGGAGTCCAATTCTTACGCCTGCATTTGCCTGACGACACAATACCCTCGATGTGACTGAGCTATAACTAGCGAAACAGAATAAAAACCTTCCTTAATCTGACAATTTATAAACGTCCAAAGATAAAGCTAATAATTTCACTTGTATATATGAAATATATGAGGCATCAGGTGCACGGGAGCGAAACGAACTAAGTCTAGTTAGTCGTGGCAAAGTCTGGATTACGCGGCGTAATCCTCGGGCAAAATGTGTCCCGAGAGACTCTCAGATGTGTACCCAGAACCGGGAAGGAGCAGCCGGGAGAGAGTTGCCCCAAATTTGAAATATGGAAAATGGTAATTGATTATGTACGTTACCCTTCCGCATATTCCTGAGGGAGCAAATCAAAACGGGTGGAAACTCATTACCACGTCCTATAAAACATGTACGCAGATAATAGATATATTAAAGAATTAGCAACAACAGAGAACGGAAAAGTTAAACACAATGGAACTAAGCCGCACAAGCAATCAACAGAGACCTCCTGGCTTACGTCACGCAACTGTGGAGTAAGCTCATCCACTCATATGTTGAGGCTCATGTTGTAGCTCTACTCGTAGATATTGCGAAAGCCTTTATATATAATAGCTGTCGTTCAGACTATGTTAGCGATCAAACAAATCCTTATATTACATTAGACTATCCCTTCATTTCCCTTTAATGAACTTTATTCTAGGCAAGAAAATATTTTGCAAGCTAAAAGACGACAGAGATAAAAAAAGGCAGGTATGAGATCAAGTTGCTTGGAACTACAACTGGCAACTGCTCACAAAAATACAGAATCTATATAAAAACATAAAGAAGTGTACAAACCATGCAGCGGCTAATATAAATGGAAATTCTAATTGTAATAAGCCTGAGGATTATATATCATGGTCGTGTGCTAGAGAGATTTTGAAATTAAAAAATCGGAGTATCCGTATCAATATATGTTAATAGTTTATATATAACACATTTTTTTGGACTCTGAATTTAATATATATGCCTTGCTTTTTCTTAAAAAGCACTATTTGTAGCACTCCTGATGAAACTTGAATCATTGAAACCTGAATAATAAAAAAAAACGTTATAGAAGAGTCACCGCTTTCTGTACAGATGGACAGACAGGCATATTTTTTCTTCATGTAAATGTCACGTGCCACCCAAAAAACATCTCAAAGCACGCCAAAAGAGAGCTTAACAAGTCAAGGGACCACCTCGGTAAAAGTGAGAGGCATGCCAACGCGTCTTTGTGTTGAATTCGAGGGAATTTGTCATTGCATGGTATTAACCACAACTTTTTAATAATCGGCCATCCTGATGTTTTAAACAACTGTCTGTAGTTCTAACTATCTTTGAATCAATGCTGTTCCATGTTCATCTTCTCTACATGTCCCCTTTTTTTGGTTTTTGCTTAATTCGAAAAATCCACAGGGGCTGATTGCTATTTTCTCTCCCGAGTTATAAAAGCACGACTATCTTACTGTGAAACTGTAAACATCATACGTCTCCACGTGTCATCCAAGTCATCCAAAAAAAGCAGAAGACAGACACAAAGACGAAAGGAACTGCGTTAAACCCGTCAAAGTCTGCAGAGGCGGATGCAACGAGGGAGGAGTAGCAGAAGTCGCTACGCGGTTATAATTTTAATTTCATAAGTTCTCTTGGTAGGGCGGTGGCTGTGGCCAGAGAAGAAGCACCAGGAGCACTGCCTTAATTAATCACTCAAGTAGAGAAGTGGGATTTAATTAAACCAGAAGTAGCTGCTTCGTGATGGCGAATAGTCTGGATGCCATATTTTGGAATGAGTTGCGGCGTGGTTTGGATTGATTAGTGTCTGACAGTTTTGATAGCTTTGAATACCTGGTAGAAAGTTTATCTAATAAACTTCATCAAGCAATCATCACTA